ATTTTCCTTCTAGAAGTATGGTACGACGAAAAACCGGAAATTGTTATTCCAGAAAGAATACAAAAAATTAAGGAGTTTGTTTGTCTAGCATCCAAAAGTTTTGATATCCTATAATCAATAACTTATATATGTAACTTTATGTTTAAATTGTCGATAAACATTGCTTCCTTTACCAACAGGTTTAAAAATGAGTTTAGAGACCAGCCATTAACATAATACACTTCGAAATTTTCAAAAAGTGGTAGAAGGATTGTACAAGCAATGTGAATGCGATTCATGTTCTCAAACGATTATTTTTGATTTCAAACAATTAACGCTTTTGAATTTTAGCAAGCTCGTGATCGTGAAGAATCTTCACGGTTACACGGTTACACATATGATGCAATGTGGACTCGTACGGCTACAAATAGGATATCGACTAAAATTTTTTTCCCTTCCAAAAAAAAATGAATGAAGTCACCACAACTTATTTTGATACACCTTCCGATAAATGGACCTTCCTCGATTACTACAATTACCGCCGTAATGAAAGCAACTTCACCTTTTCTTTCAGAAAGGAATCGTTTTCACTCAAGAAAAACCTTGAATCCCTCAAACAAATAACAAAGGCCAAACAAATGTTAGAAGCATAAGGTTTGAAATTTACTTATCTTTTTTTTGCAAAGCGGTATGAGGTTTTTGCCAAGTTGCTTGCGACTTCCACGACTATGAGGACGTTCTACGCGCCGTTCCTCTAATATTCTACGTGAATGTTGTGGTCCGAACTAAATATTCTTTCATCAGCACCATTCAACATCTCAAAAATTACAAATTTCTTAATGTTTTCATTTTCTTTTGGTAGAATCATCGACAGCATAACGAGGAAGTCAACAAGTTCTGGAACGAGATCGAGCTTATGTGTCTAGAGCAAGAGATAACCTTGCGCACAGTAAGTATATTTTTTCTGCTGTATAATTCTTCGTGTTTTACTAAATATTTTTCTCGTGCAGAAACGATGCCATTTAAATATAAGTAGTAAGACGCAAGATATGATGGAGAACATGGCAGAGGAGACCGTGGAAGCTCATTTAGAGACAACAAAACAGGTGAGTCCAGTTAAGACTTAAAGAATAATTACATTGAAACTGATTTATGACTTTTCTCGTATGAAAGAGACCGACAAGAAAAAGAAAAAAAATATGTTATACTGAAAGTTCAGAGGTAGATCATTCATCGGATTCAGAATACATAGAGAAACCTAAGGGAGTAAGTAATTTTGTATTTTTTTTTTACTTTTTCACGAATAATTATAAATGTTCTGACTGGTTCGGAATCTATCAAGAAACAAAAACCAAAATCAAAACGATCACATATAAAAGCGAACTGTGACGGTATGGATAAGGTTCCATCAATAGAGACTTCAGAGGCACCAAGTCTAGAAGATACTACTTTGTATGAAATTACTCCAAGCACATCCCAACAATCCCCGACATCATTAGAAACTTCAGAAAATATTGATACTTCGCGTGAAAGTACACCATGTCCAGTTATCCAATCGACCCAACAGACATCATTAAATACTATTTCTACTCCACGTTCAGTTATCCAATCGACTCAACAAGCCTCAATTTTTACACCGCAAAAACCAATCATAACAAAAATCATGTATGATAGATTTTCACCATACCTCATTTGTGCATTTAACGCGACAATAAATTACATTAAAGAAACTGTTGAAGAAGGAGTCTACATAGAAGTAAAAAATTTATTACAAGCAAAAGACCGACTTATTTTGCAGGAAACTTTGGTTAAGAAGCTGGATGCGATATTTGAAACAGACTACACAGGGATCGAATCAAAAATCTTTTCGGAAACAGTTATCAACGGTGACAACCGGACAGAAGAAGCAAGGTTCAACTTCTTCATAAGGGACGCACTCCTAGATTTTGTTGCTAACTTTAGGTACAGAATGCCGAGAGTTTTAGACCGTGAAATATCGGAAAGAACTTATATTGTGGAATCTCTGTCACCTATCTTCCGTGCTTTTCGAAATGCTTTCCCGGATATCAAATACGATTGGATCGAAAAAAATGTTTCCTCAATAAAAGAAGCAAACAATATGTTTGCAGAAGATATCAATCCAAGAAAGACAGATCTACTTATCATACGTTTGTCAGACAATCTGGAAATACTGAACACAGAAGTCTCAGGACCTCCCTTTAAAGTCACATGAGAACACACAGTCGGAGACGCGAAAAAGTTGTTAATGATGTCTGTATGTAGCCTTTGCCGAACATTTGGAAATAACCTAGATTGCAGTGTCGAAATTGCTAAAGAAATCAAGACCTTTAGTATTCAAATCATTGGTGACCGTCTTACATTGTTTTCAGTCTCTCTCATAGGCAAAGAGAAGTTTCTGGCCGTTGAATTGGTTTCTTGCTTGATTCCATTTTCATTTGATACAATTCATTACTATGCAAAAATATTTAATTTCTTCATGACAATTCGAACAGAGTTTGTGAATCAGGAGAAGTTACGGAGAAAAATGTATTCTTCCGCTCCAGTTGACAATTCTGAAAAGATACGAGATTGGTTGCTATTACCTGATGATTACTTTTTCTATGACCTAAAACCTGTACCAGAGGATATAGATGAAGTTGCAATATGATATACAATTCGCATCTATGAACAGTAGCAAAATAGCTAGTTTAATATTATGTATGCTATTCTAATAGTGAAATAATTGGCGGTTTTTTATCATGCGACTAAGTTTATATTATTCAATAAAATTATAGTTTCGCTAAACAGACTACTGATTTTTAACCAGTATGCATATTTGTATTGGGAAATGGATGATTATAAGCCGATTTTGCATATAGCGTTCATATATTTTCGGCTAGAGGCAAAATTTATTGCTTGTTATGTTCGAATATTTTTTTCTTGACAGGTGATCGGTGTGACAAATTGCCACGCGCATGTGATTTCGAAACCTAAAGCATCGGAGAAAGCAAAATTTGAGGTAAGCTTCTCTACTGAGTCCGATCATTTGCTCGTTTGCCTGCTTGCAATGGAAATCATAGCAATTATGGAATATGTGGTGAATGGCATAATAACGAATATTGTCTAAGTAATAAATTTAAGTTCGCGATCGTAGCATAGATCATGTGAAATTAATCATTTGAAATGCGCAGAAGATATCCGGTAAAATTTCTTGCCGAAAGAATAAGGGCTGTGCATGAAAGATAGGGTCGAAGTTGATGGCTCTCCAGATAGTAAGAGGGCAAGGATAAAAAACTATATTAAAGAATGATTGGGTAGTTCGGTACCATTAGCAGTTGTTTCGCAAATAAAAAATTTTTAACACTACATATGATCATATAACCAGTCATGATTTATATGCTATTATTTTTTGATGCTCGCATACTAATGTAAGAATTGGGATCAGCAAATTAATAGACATTAGGGTTGCAGTATTACGTTTCGCAAAATTGATCTACGATTTGTGTTAATTTCTAAACCATGATGTGGCATAGTAAATTTTCCCAACTGTCAAAGCTATTCCGGCTTCCTGTGATACAAATACTTCCCACCTTAGCTTGTTTTGAAGCTCTCGATGTCCTGCATCTTATCGAATTGGTTTGAAGTTTCTACAATATCTGGAGCACGTTTCGTAGGCGAATGAATTTTCAATACTCATATAGTACTAATAATACATTTTGGGACTCACTGGGTAGCTATGAATTCTTACATAACGACCTACCAATTTCTCACCTCCTTTAGGTTACCAGAACCAGAAACTAATATTTTGTAGGTCGCCAGGTCACCAACATTTCACACGCCACTTTGGTAATGCGACTTATCCAAGAACCTTTCGTAGTTATATTCCAAAATAATTATAAGGCCAATTATCAAAATAACTCTGCATCCAGTGATCGGAATTTCACGAATTTTGGCTTGATATAAGTTCAGAACCCGCTGAATCCAGCCGTTCAATCCACATCAAAATTGAACCATTGGGTGATGAGATATTCGTGCATTGTCAGGGAATTCTTGCTGAGATTTTTTTCTGACATATCCGCAGAATATGTGCATGTAAATCATTTTAGTACATTACAAGATTCCAAAGGGACCCGATCTGGCCGAGAGTGCATCATGTATTTTTTTACTCGAAAGTTCCAAAAGTTTCAAAAGATATAGGCTAACCCTTTTCTTTTTTAGAACCTAGTGAGTAAAAAGGGGTATTTTGAGGATCGTAAGATAGGGCGTCATTAAAAAGAAGATCAAAAATGGAAATAGAGTGATTAGAATCTATGATTTACAGGTCGCGGTATGGGATAAATGATAGATTCTTTATTCTGATTTTTTAATAGGACATATCAACCATCTAGATAATAAACGGTAGATATACTATTACTCTATTAGTATAAATTTATAACATATCAGTTTAGCATGTTAATCGTTATTTCATTGGATTTTCTTTTTAGCGCTTTTTTTCTCCTAAAAAAAGGAGACCCAACAAATAAGCAATATATTTTATTAGATAAGCTGTGCAACACGCTATATCTTTGGAAATCAATTTACGCCAATGCTCCTAATAATTTTATACCCAAAATGGCTAATTTTTCGCAAAAATAATTATGCAGATCTGTCTGATATTTTTTATAAATACTCTGCCTATTTTTTCCTTCCACTCTTGATCCTCATTAAAAGAACATTCATTATGTTACAACCTTGAATCAGACTGCATCACAAACGAATAGAACTCCCGCCTTCTTATTCATTCGAAGCAATAAAAAAAAATATATTGTCCTTTATCTTCAGTCGACACTATATACTCAATAAGCAGTTTACTGAAGTGAACAGCATCACATTAGATATTCTAGTTCTTCCTTCTGATTACGGGTATC